TCGAGAAGAAAATTTCTGTGAAAACTACAGATCTCTTCCAGCTTGAGAAGCACTTTATAAACAGAGACAAAGAGGTCAAATATGAAGGTCCTGTGTTGTTTTCCTTGGGCACCATACCTGGCTGTACTTAGGGCTTCCTCCTGGCTTTGTCTTCAAGGATTGCTTCTCACAGTTCTTAGAGGACTACATGGATCAAATCTGGGCCTGCCATGTCCAAGGCAAGCATCCTTACTCCCTGACCTCAAAATTAATGTCTTAATTTATTTTCACAGAGACTACAGTTCTATGTTATGCTATCCCATATTAAATACCAACAACTCCAAATATCTTTGCTCTATTTTATAAAAATTTTGTTTTTCATCTCTTAAAATTACATCTGAGGGCTGGAGCGATAGCACAGCGGGTAGGGCGTTCGCCTTACAAGCGGCCAACATGGCCGACCCGAGTTCGATTCCTCCGCCCCTCTCGGAGAGCCCGGCAAGGCTACCGAGAGTATTCGATATGCCAGACACAGTAACAACAAAGTCTCCAATGGAGACGTTACTGGGCCCGCTCGAGCAACTCGACGATCAACGGGAGGGCCTTTACCTTAAAATTACATCTAATACTTCTCCCTAACTTACCATACAGTATCTATTTTTTTCAACTGAAAACCTTACCTTAAGTTTCTTAGAAAAAAATGCAATTGGAAGAGGAGAAACTAATTCATTTTTACAAGATGAAATGATATCCATCTGAAAAACCACATGCCTAAAATCCTGTTTTACTTCTTCAGTTCCGATTAAAGCACTCTGCTTCTTCATTTCTGTATTTTCTCTGATGAATCCAATATCCTCTTAACTTTGGAACATGATTCATCAACAATTATACATTTTTTTATGATTGACTTCACTCTTATACTTCATAGGGAAGTGTGAAAAACCTTTGAGCCTGGCCAGGGGGGTCCTGATGGCTCTGCCCCTAGCCACCTGCATTAGGGGTGGGCCTGGGCTGCTCCCTCAGCCAGGGTGGTCCAGGCCCCAGGGCAGACAACAGAGGAAGCGAGGGTCAAGCTGGTTGATTGATCAGATGCCATTTATTCCATTCTCCCCATGCGCCTGCCCCATCTCTCTGAGTCTCCCATTCTAGTCTCACATTACCTCTCATTCCCATCTCCTTCTGTCTCTCCCACTCATTTTTCTGCTCCATCTCACAGCTTGGGCTATCTCTCTCTCTCCCCGTGCCTGTTCCTGTATTCCTCTAAATCCTTCTCTCTCTGTCCCCCTTGCCTCTCCATGGTCCATCTTGCCACCCTGTGCTCTCTCCTCTCTCCAGCTCTCTTGCCTCCTATATTCCTCCTATATTCCTCTATCTCTCCAGGCTGACACTGCCCCCAGTCAGGTGGCCAAATAAACAAAAGAAAGCCCTTCCTGAGGACTCACCAAGTTCAAAGGGAACACCACCTAGGATAGTCCAAAGCCCTTCTTGACTGCCCAAGGGCAAAAATACCTCCCAAGGTGTTTTTCTCTTTTCCTCAGTCCAATAACTATCAACATATCAATGCTAGCTATTTTTGTATGGACACAGTAAGATGTAACATTGAGGCTTGTAGGACAGCTCTCCTGGGAACATCTTGCCACAGACTCAGACTTCAGCTCTCAGGCCAGATTAATTATTCCTAACCCTAGCAGGATCCAAATCTAGTTATTACTTTTTGGATCATGACAGCATTTTCCATGACCAAGCTCTTAACTTATAATTAAGCATTATGGAGCTTTAGCCAGGCCCATCTTAATGCCAGGGTAGCACATAGCTTACTGCTTGCCCTGGTTCCATCCAGTCCCTCTTCGGGACCCTCCTTTTGGGGGCACTAAAAAGTAAAGGCAGCTGAGGCTTAGGTGAGGGAACAGATGCCCAGGAGGGAAATATCACTGAGAGTCACATTAAAAAAGCATGTCTTCTTGTGTCCATACAAAAAGGACATTGCTCTGAATGAACTATGCAAAGAACTTAGGGAGAAGAGAAAAACAATATTTACAAGTCAACAGAGCACAAAGAAAGAAATTACAAATAAACAGAGGAATGGGAGCACTGTGATGGGAGCAACCCAATAAACCTAAACTACCTGAGGTTATGCAGGAAGGACAGAACAGTGTTATCCTACAGGGAAGTAAGATACCTTTTTCTCCAAACATTTCCTTCTCTCTTCCTATGAACTGTGGTAAAATTTCTACAAATGTCCTTTGCCCACAAACATCCACAAGTGATTAGCTTTGCCACATGCTATCACAGTGAGAATGGCAAACATTACTTCTAACCAAGATCTATGGAGCTACCATTTAGTTTTCTTTTTGTTATGTTCACCCAAAATTAGAAGAATTATGACTCAGATGAAAGAAACCAGTGCTAATACACACTCATACCAGAAAACTGCAACCACATTACATAAGTGACACTAATAAAGTTCATATATACATATATCTACACACACACACATAGACACACACACACTCACATATATTTGCTCGAGCGGGCCCAGTAACATCTCCATTGGAGATTTTGTTGTTACTGTGTTTGGCATATCAAATACCTCACGGGTGGCTTGCCAGGCTCTGCCGTGCGGGCGAGATACTCTCGGTAGCTTGCCGGGCTCTCCGAGAGGGACGGAGGAATCGAACTCGGGTCGGCCATGTTGGCTGCGTGCAAGGCAAACGCCCTACCGCTGTGCTATAGCACTCACATATATATGCATATATATTCAATGAAACATATCAGTTGGGACTATTTCTTAACTTTTCTTGTGTTTTGCTCTAATCCTACCTTTAAGATCAAAAGTCATAACGTATTCTTAAGTAGAATCCTGAAATCACTTAAGGCTGAAATAAAAAATAACCTCTATGTTTCTACTCCTTCTGTGTTACTACTAACCACTCTACCCCTTAATCTTTTGCCACTGAAATAAAATTATGAGGATGCACATGTTTGCATGGCACTTTAATACAAAATTAGTGCTCAATACTGAAAGATGAAAGTATGATCATTGCTTGAAAATGTACCCTAAACTTGAATATTATAATTGAGTTTATCTCAATGTTTCATACTTTAAAGACACCTATTAGTAGAAAATATAAAAGTTTTATCAACCCATCAATTCATCTATCTATTCAATAATAATCCATGAAAGACAAGGCCATAGTCTATGAGGCACAATGGTAGGCAGACTGTTAGACAGCAGACACAATCCCTGTCACTGAATGAGTTTTAGCTGCAGACTTCACCAGAGTTGAAAAGAAAGTACTACAATAAACCATTACAGGTATTATTACAGAGTCATGTTCAGAATATGCCATTAAAGTATATTCAAAAGAATCAAAGAATACAGATTAAAATAATCCTGCTTTTGAACTGAGAATAAGTTGGAAAGTGACTGAAGAGCCTAGGAAAATAGAACTAAATGCAATGACAAGATATTACGAAGTCTTTTGTGATAGAATATAAGTTTACTTTCAGCTTGGTAGAGTTTCACATGCTTAAAAAAAAGTGGTAAGTATATGAGACTTTGATTGTAACTTGTACATCATAGATTCCTCCCAGGAGGTAAAAATATGCCAAGTGCAAGTCGTTTGTCACTTTATTTTCTATGTGAGAAGTACTTCAAATGCACCATGAATCCATAGGAAACAGGCCTTATTTTAGAAGTAGTTTTCACGGATGTGTCTGAGCACCCCAAATACTATGTTTTTGCTTTTGTTTTGTTTGGGTTTTGGCCACATTAGTGGTGTTCAGCGTCTAGTCCTGGGTTGGCACTCCTGATGCAGCTTGGAGACCTTATGGGGCGCTAGGGATCAAAACCCAATTGGGAATTTTCAAGGAAAGACCACTGTATTATCTCTCCAGCTTAAGAAAAGTGCTTTGGACTCTGTTTATTTTCTTTGTTTTTGTGGCCATATCCTAAAGCTATCTCTCCAATAGCACAGCGGGTAGGGCATTTGCCTTGCACATGGCCAACCTGATTGACCCAGGTTTGATTCCTCCATCCCTCTTGGAGAGACTGGAAAGCTACCCAGAGTATATCGCCCACACGGCAAAGCCTGGCAAGCTACCCATGGCATATTTGTTATGCCAAACACAGTAACAAGGGACACAATGGAGACGTTACTGGGCTGCTTGAGTAAATCGATGAACGAGGGGAGGACAGTGACAGTGACCCCAAAGCAAGTGTCTTAACCTCTTTGCAGTGAATCTGGCACCAACATATGTGTATTCACAGTACTAATGCTGCAAACTTAAATCTCTAACTTGGGAGTCTGGTTGGTGTCAATCACTGTACTAAGAAAACAACAAAGAGCTTGTGTGAACTTCCGGGGATGTGGGAACAGTTACAGAACTGTCACTGCACAATTATGACAGGATATGCTAGAATGATTGCTTGACCCCATGTCACAGAAAAACTCCATTTATCCTTGAAAAACTTTCCAAATATTACACAAATCAATTTGGGTAAAATATAAAATTGACACAAATTATTATTGCGAATATAAACCAAAATGAGTTTTTAAAGTTATGCAAAAATATTAAGATAGGGAATATTTGGCCCAGAGAATGATTTATTTGCTTTTGATATTATAAACAGAGGGTATAATTGCAAATTAAGTTTATTATCATTTTTATGTCGGCATTATATTCTGAACTTCTCACTGAGAATACTGATGAAAAGAATTTCAGATGGGTATGCTTCATTTCAAAAATTTAATGCAGTATAGAAAACTATTCCATAAAGTAATATGAGCATCTGTGCTTTTGAGGTTTTTTTTCCCAACTAACACCAATTTTCATCTCCTTGAGTTCATTTTTTTCTTACTTTTGGTCATGATAACAAATACAACATGGAAACACAAAAATATGAAAGAAACTGTTTTGTAATAAACTTTAAGTTTGTGTTTGTGTTGGGTCCATTGGCTGTTATTGCACTTTATAACTTATTTTTCTGAAATTTCAAACTTCCTCTATTTATTTTTTTATGTCAGATGAGTAATGTGCAAAATATGTAGCAAAATTTAAGGGAGACACATACCACAAAGTCTGTGAACACACAATCATCATCCTTATGAACCAGAAAGGGATCCAAACTTTCTCTACTTCTATTCATTCCTTCCCTTCCAACTACATTTTTATCTAAGTATTGGGTACATACAATGTGCTCAGAATGGTTGAGGGGTAAGAGAAATAGTACAGTGGGTGTTTGCCTTACATGCTTCCAACTTGGGTTCAATCACAGGCAACACACATGCTCCCCTGAGAACGTTCAGGAGTAATTCCTGTACTCAGAGCCCAAGGATATCACTGGGTATGGCCAAATTTCCCTCTTCCCTCTCCAAAAAAAAATAGGTTTGGGATGGGGTAGATCAGGTTCATATGGTTCTACTCTTGTACATGTTACTTTATTCAATCAATCATATTATGCATAATTCATACTTTATGAGAAACATTAGAACTAATTGTTACAACTACCATTTGGGTGTGGGGCCGCTGGAAACACGTTTATAACCACAAAGTCTTAAACATGTCAAGTTTACTTATCTAAAAGCAGTCTTATAATTACTTACTGTTTGTTTTTTCTTTGGCAGAAGGAGTGCATTGCACATGCAGATGTGTCTGGGTTCACTCCTGCTGGGGTTTGGGGAACCATTTACGGTGTCAGGGACTGAACCCAGATCAGTGACCTGCAGGACAAACTTCTGATCCATTGTATTCTCTTGTTCAAATACAATTTAGTTTTGCTTACTTTGGAGGTCACATTCAGAGATGTTCAGTAGTTCTTCCTGACTCTGTGCACAGGAATGATCCCTGGAGATACTCAGAGACTTATGAAGCACCAGGGATCTAAATTGGGTTGAGCTGGGTACAAGACCAATGCCATGATCCCCTGACTGGATCTCTGGCCCCTTCTCATCTATTTCCTTCTCATTTTGACACCATCACTTTCTAAAGAACTCATTTTGAAAACTCAATGTATTCTTTTAAAATTATTGCTCTTTTTGCTTCAGTTCAGTTGTTAATATCACACCAGTTAATTAGTCCTTGCAAGAAATAGTTATTTCATCATTTATCACTTTTCTCTATAATTTTATGACCACGTGGTTCAAATAACCCAAATGTGTCTTCCTTAAAATACCTGAACTAACTTTTAGAGCATTTAAACTACTTCAGTACAGTGAAACCAATTTCCTGAGCTACATGTCCACAATTGGTAAGAACAGAATAATGGTCTCTCATTTTAAGGTTGTTTCTTTTTCTTATAATATATATTATGTATTCATCTATTGCTAATTTTCTTAGATTTTGCCCTAATTCCTACCAGCAGTGATGTTTTTCATTGCTCTGTTACCATTTTTCTTTCTCTTTGATATTTCCTGGCCATCATCATCATCTCATCATCATCATCATCTTCATCGTCATTATCATCATCGTCTCTCTCTCCCCCCTCTCTCCTTATATATGCATATATATACATACATACATACATATATATATATTTCCAGTTCCCTTGATGGAACACATGTTTTTCCTCTAATGGACTAATTCTTCAGTTATTGCTGATAGACTTTTGGACTATATGTCTCCTAGTGAAGTGATGTATAATGATTATAATTAAGTGACAGAATAAATCTTCACTTAATTAGTAGGTTCCTGGACAGCACAGTGTCTTCCAGTTCAATGAAATAAAATGGAAGTTATCAAGTGAAATTACTTCCAGCAACACTTGTCAGGGATTTTTTTCTTGTGAATACTGAAGGAAAATATGGAACAATAATTAGAATACTGGCCATTCTCAAAGGAACTACTATATTTGTTTCACAGTCGTCTATTGATATCTAGAAGTGAACACAAAACTCTTTCATAGTCTCCTTATTCATGTAAGCAACTTCCAATGGAGTGATCCTACTTAATCCTGACAAATTCCCTAGCTGTCTGAGTGTCCCTAAGGCATCTCCTTAAAGTAGTGCTCTCGGCACTAGGTAGTAGATGAGAGACCCATTTACATAAATTAGTAATTTCATAACTGCTTAACTGCTTCCTCTGTTCAATCTAAAGCTATGTAACTGTTAGACCTGTGTCATTGTATTTTCTAAGACCCCTTTAAACTGCCAATTTTTCTTTATTGCTAAGACCATTAGCTGTTTCACAATTACTTCTGATCTTGTCACTCACCACAGCTTTCTTTCTGATCAATTTTGGATAGGGTCAGCCAGGCCCAACAAGCTCATTCATAGACACGACAACACATAGAGCTATCCTTCTGTATTTGCATGTTTTGTGAATATAAGGTAATTCTCCCATGGTGTCAGATGGAAGCTTTCTACTTAATTTTCTGGAGAGATCTTCAAACTATTTTCCAAAGAGACTTACTAGAAGGCAGTTTCAGCAGCAGTGAATTAAAGTTCCTTTTCCATCACAACCCTACTAGTACTGAGCATTTTAGTATAGACCATTCTTGCGTGTGTGAGGTTGTATCTCATTGTCGTTTTGACATGAATTTCAGGATGACCAGTGGTGATAAACAATTTCTCATATCTGCAATGGCCAACTTGATGTCTTCATTGAGAAAGTACTGTCTGTAGTTCATCTTTTCCCCCCAACATTTTTAGTTTTTTTCTGACTTAGCTGTTTCTTATTGTCATGTGAGCATTGACTGTTCTTCGATGTTGGTTCTTTCTCTGATGTATGACATACAAATATTTTGTCCCCATCAGCAGACTAACATTATTTTAGGCCTCATTTCATTCCCTGGGCAAAAGAGTAGGATGTGGTGCCATTTCTGAATTTTTTTAATTGACAGCCCTGCTGTTTTTAAGGTTAACAGCATGGGGAATCCAATATTTACCTCAATGTGTTTACCTCACTGTATTTTATTGAAATGAGTTGGAAATCTCTGTGAAGTAGAATTTTGCAAGAAGGAGACGGTGGTCCGATCCCATTTGGAATTTTGGGACAACAGCGACATCGGTCAGGCAAAACCGTCGATTGAATATGGTGTGGTCTATTTCATTGTGGAATCATCCACCCGGAGACTCCCATGTCCAACGTTTAGATTCTGCTTTCTGGAACTGTGAGTTACCATGGATGGTCTTGGTCTACATGATGAACTCAGACAGTCTCTTACCCTGTTCATTCCATTCTAGGCCATGGGTCCCGATGTGAAGTTCTTCAGCTGATCTTCTTGATCCTATCTTGGCATTAAAATCACCCACAATGATCTTGTAGAAGGTGTGGTCTTCTTTATAGAACTTCTCCAGCTCCATGTAGAACTTCTCGATTTCTCTTTCATCATAATGAGATGTTGGTGCGTAGACAATGAAGATAGAAACTGCCGGCAGTGAGCCACATCTATTCAAATGTAAACGTCCAATTTGGGTTGTTAGGCATTCGAATGAATCAATGCTCATGGCCAAGTTTGCGTTGAAAAGGACAGACGCCTCCGACACCTCTTTAATCGCATGTTCTGAGGAAAAATTCTTCTCCAGTGTCGAAAACAGCATGGTGAGATTCGTGCCTTCTTGTCTCGGTCAGACCAATGATGTCGTACTTGATCATTCGTGCTTGTACCATCAGGTCCTCGATGGATGCATCTGATGCTAGCGTACGTGCATTGAAAGTACAGACGATCATTTTTGTCTTCCTTCGTTGTGGCAGCCTAAGTCGGCCTTGAGATTTTATCGGCCTCTCCTTTCTCATCCTTCTCAGTGCTGCCATGTCGGTGAAGCCTTCAGGGTCAGGTGAAGGAGACCAGTTGTAATTACTGGTTTTGGCATATCGAATACACAACGGATAGCTTGCCAGGCTCTTCTGTGCGGGCGGAATACTCTCGGTAGCTTGCCAGTCTTTCCGAGAGGGATAGAGGCTTTTGAGGTGACCTCTAATTGCCCTCGTAGGTGTTACCATATTTGAACCCTATCAAATATGGTACGGCAATTCCGGAAGATGGGTATTTAGTGTCTTATGATCTGTTGCGCGTCCGCAAAGTGGCTGCGTGGTCCGGAAAGCGTCCTGGAGTGTGGCAGCGGCTGGGTAGTGGAGGTAGTGTCGGTAGTGGAGGTCTGCCAGTGGGGTATTTATCTAGTCCTGGTAGGTGTAGGGTGGGTCTTCTGTGTGCAATCCGATCCCTGGGTCTCTAGTGGTTGGTAGGAGCAGACAGTGAAGGGTAGGGTGGGGCTCCTGATTAGAATCCCTTTGTCACCTGTGGTTGGATCTCTGTCAGAGGATCTCTGTCCCTGGTTCCAAAAAGAGAACTCTCAGAACGACCACCAGCTGGGAGCTCTTTGGCACTATTGGGGCAACATGGGAAGATGCCATTGTTGACAATATTGACGAGGAATATGATCGACTGGTTCAGCACTTCCATGATTGTGCGAGGAACGCCAAGAGAGAGATAGCCACAAAAATATGCCTGTCTTTGAAAACTCTTGAGCTTATTCGCTAACGTGGTTTGGCGCATGCCTCAGGCAACCGCAAGCTAACGTCCGAGCTCGCAAAGCAGTGCAGAGATGTGATCAAGGAAGACCTCAAAGAGAGAAGAGCAGAAGTGCTGGTAGATGCAGCAGAAGCCAGGAAAAGTATTCATAATGCCCGCCTGTCCTTCGCCAACTACAAGGCCAAGATGACTGCCCTCCAACGTCCTGATGGATCCATCACATCCTCCAGAATGGCAATGGAGGAGATTATCCATGACTTCTACTCAAATCTCTTCTATAGCCATGTCTACTTGCCGACATACCAAATTCCACATGATGGATATGTCGTTCCCAACATTCTCCCTTCCGAAATCCGACACGCCATTTCTTCAGTAAAGAAACGAACAGCACCTGACCCAGACAAGGTCAGACCTGACTGAACACCTGAGGAACCTGCCGTCAGTACTCATCAATACACTGGCTAGGCTCTTCACACGCTACCTGTCTGAATGCAAGGTTCTATCCCAATGGAAAACCAGTAGGATCGTACTACTGTTCAAGAAGGGAGACATCCATGACATTGGCAATTATCGCCTGATCTACCTATTGTCTGTCATCTACAAGTTGTTCACTCGAGTCATCCTAAATAGGATTGGCAGAATACTAGATGAA